TATATATAAAACGAATTCTTTAATTCACATTTAACATAATAATATATCACTTAGTTATTCACATTGGTCACTTTTCACTTAAATTGGAATTCTTGATATAAAACTCCAATTTTTTGAATTAAGCAAAACTGTGAGAAAAAAGCAAAAATAGTAATGTTATTGTTCTATGAACCAAAACATTCCGTATTTTCAAGCTCAACATAACAGAAAAAAAGACAAACAAGTTGCAACAAGGGAAGCACTGGTTTTAATAATAAGGGAAGAGAAACGAAGTTGAATACGATTATCAGTTTGAGGAAAAGAGATTTAAAAAAAGTAAAACTATCTTTATTTAGATGATCTTATTTCCTTTTTTTTTGTCTGTATAAAATTTAGAAGTTCGAAAGGGAAACTCAAAAGTTGTCAATAGATTGTTGAAAATTGTCGGACAATAGAATATCACAGGACTCCTTGTTATACTAATTGCTTTCGTATATTGTCATATGCTCTATTTGTTATGCCAAAAAACGGATAAATATACTAAAATTGCCATAGCTTACAGCATTTATTTCAAAGCACTAAATAAAGCAGTTAATATGGCTCCAGCTCCTTTTTTGCAACAAAAACTTTTTTTTTATTTAATATATCCAATAATTTCAGAACCAACACATTTATGGAATCATTCGGAGATAATTGTTTGAGAAAAATTAAAACTCCGAACAAACAGTGAGTAATAGGCCAAAAATAACCACGTCAAAAACTAGAATATAGAAACTAGAAAATAGAATACAAAAACTTAGACACTAATATAGAAATCTTTTAAACGTCATTAATATTTCAGAGGAAAGAGGCTTTAGTAAATGTATATAGCTAATCTTAAACATCTTTTATTATAAACTGTTTTAAGCTAAAAGAATTAATAATGAATATACAGTGTGTTTATAAAGTCCCGGACCCATTTTGATGGTTAATAACTCATAAAATAATAAAGATAGATTAAATTTAATAACATAAATGGTTAGATAAACTCAAAAAGTTTCATGACCCTTGTCAATGAACTTCCACGTGTGCCCCCTTCGCATGGAGAATATCAAGTCGATAGTCAATTTCACGCCAGGTTACGACAAGCATTATGAGTTATTAAACATCAAAATGGGCCCAAAATGGGTACTTCTGGCATTGTTAATCGCCATAATGTGCGCATATGGGGATCTGAAAACCCCCATGAATACCGTGAGACACAAAGGGATTCTCCAAAGGTTAATGTGTGGTGTGGACTAATGCACGACTGAGTCATTGGACTTTCTTTTTTTCAGAAAAGACGGTTTCATCAGTCGTATACTTAGACATGTTCGAAAACTTCGTATTTCCACAACTAGAAGAGCTTCAGCCGCATGTCTTTTTGAAACAAGATGGTGCACCACCTCATTGGGGCATCATCGTTCGTAGTTCTTTGAATGACCATTCTCCAGGAAGATGGATTGGACGAGGGGGTTCTCAAATCCTTGGCCACCCAGATCACCTGATATAACGCCGCTGGACTTTTTTTTTCGGGGATTTATAAAGGACAATGTTTACTGGAGGATCGTGTCGAACATTGATGACCTACAAGCCAGAATTACAACCGCCATAGCCTCTCTGAATGCCGACATGCTTGTCGCTACCTGGCGTGAAATTGACTATCGACTTGATATTATCATTGCGACGAAGGGGGCACACGTGAAAGTTCATTGCCAAGGGACATGAAACTTTTTGAGTCTATCTAACCATTTATGTTATTAATTTTAATCTATCTTTATTATTTTATGAGTAATTAAACATCAAAATGGGTTCGGGACTTTATAAGAACCCTGTATATTTACTTTACATTCGTAATCAAAAGCAATTAAATAATAATCACCTTCCTGAAAAACTAATTTCTAATTTAGAATTCGTATTCTGAATAATGAACTGCCAAAAATATACAATTAATGAAATTTAAAACGTGCATGAGAGTAAGACAATTTTGATAAATAAAATTAGGCAAAAAATTAATACGGTCTTACCCCGCTATAATGAACTCTGAATATAGTAAACACTCAGTTGTAGTGAGTGTTTATACTGGTCCCGTCTAAACTGTTATTTGATTAATGTTATTTAATCCGCTTATAGTGAACGGAAAAAACTTCTAGTTTGTTTATAGTGGACAAGTGAACTGAAATTTTGCTTTTGCAAAGAATTTAAATAAACTGATAATACACAAAAGAGACTGATAATACTCAAAAACTTATAACGCAGCTAACTTTATTCACACCTCATGTTCACTCAAGCGTTTTTTAAATCGTATGTTTCAAGTGAAACATGCGCGAATTAGTATTCGAAGATTTTCGCGACCCGACTTGGCGAATGTAACATTGGCGAATTTCAAAATACGGTGCCAAAGAGGCGTCCGGGAGTCAACAATGTGTAAAATCACGTCCCGTCCAAACTGATATTTAGTTAATGTTATTTCTTCCGCTTATAGTGAACAGCAAAAAACTTCTAGTTTGTTTATAGTGGACAAGTGAACTGAAATTTTGCTTTTGCAAAGAATTTAAATAAACTGATAATACACTGATAATACACAAAAGAAACTGATAATACTCAAAAACTTATAACGCAGCTAAATTTATTCACACCTCATGTTCACTTATGAGTTTTTTAAATCGTATGTTTCAAGTGAAACATGCGCGAATTAGTATTCGAAGATTTTCGCGACCCGACTTGGCGAATGTAACATTGGCGAATTTCAAAATACGGTGCCAAAGAAGTGCCCGGGAGTCAACAATGTGTAAAGTCGCGTTCCGTCCAAACTGATATTTAGTTAATGTTATTTCCTCCGCTTATAGTGAACAGCAAAAAACTTCTAGTTTGTTTATAGTGGACAAGTGAACTGAAATTTTGCTTTTGCAAAGAATTTGAATAAACTGATAATACACTGATAATACACAAAAGAGACTGATAATACTCAAAAACTTTTAAAGCAGCTAAATTTATTCACACCTCATGTTCACTCATGCGTTTTTTAAATCGTATGTTTCAAGTGAAACATTTGCGAATTAGTATTCAAAGGTTTTCGCGACCCGACTTGGCGAATGTAACATTGGCGAATTTCAAAATACGGTGCCAAAGAAGTGCCTGGGAGTCAACAATGTGTAAAGTCACGTCCCGTCCAAACTGATCTTAGTTAATGTTATTTCCTCCGCTTATAGTGAACGGCAAAAAACTTCTAGTTTGTTCATAGTGGACAAGTGAACTGAAATTTCACTTTTACAAGCATTTAAATGAACATTTCAAAATTCAAAGCATCTATTTATGGCTTTTAATTAAAAATGAAGTAAGACATATTATAGAGATAGTTTAAAATGTGTGATTTCGCTGAAAATGAATAAATCGAGTGATTTTAAAAACTAACACATGGGAGAGTAAATCGGTTGCAGAGAAATTTAAACTTTTAAATGCAACTTTTTTCAAAAGTAATGAACATTTAAAAGATAAAAGTTTGAAATATTCGTTGTAGGGAGATAACTATTTCGTTATATGGAGAATATTTTGAATGTTATTTAAAGTTCCGATTTCCAATTTCGTTACAAGGGAAATTTACTGAAAGAAAACCCTGTTGTAGAGAGAATTCACTAGATTAATTAGCTAATATTTTATAGAACAAATCTTGTATTTTTGTAAGCACTATATTTTAAGAATACTACAGCAATTTGTTAATGAATAATTTTATGGATATAGTGAATAACCGTTTATACAGTGCGCTTATCGCTGGGTTCTCAGATGGTTCACTATAGCGGGGTCCAATTGTATGTTAACTTAGCAAAGTTCAGCATGAAAAAAAATAGTTAAAATTATAAATTAATCAATCGCTTGTTTTCCAATGGCATAGTATCTAGTAGATCATAAAAAATTATGATTTATAAATTGTTGCCTGCTTGATTGATTAAAGTACCCCTATATTTTTTTTCGCAAAATATATTATTATATTTATGAGTTTACTTTTTTAAAGCTTCATAATCCCGAGTAAAATATCGCCTTTTTTGCCATTATGAAAATCTCAGATCTCAAAAAGTGAAATAAATATTTGTTTATTAACCCTGAAAAAAAAAAAAACATTCTTACTTCATCTTTTCTTTCATCATATTATTTGTATGTTTTCCACAAAAGCCCTGAAAATAAAATGAAACAACTTTATCATAAATGATAATAAACAAAAATTAATATTTCTACTAGGAGCTAAGATAGGAGGAGATAGAGGAATTTTTTAAAATCTTTTTATGTAATAGCAGATCTAATTACACAATCTTTATCTAATTACATATCTTAAGGGAAAAATTCAATTTTAAGTCTTGTAGCTTATCTTTGCCCGCATCATATCGCTTATTAATAGCTTATATGAATTATATTGAATCGGATGAAAGTGATAACAATTTTAGGACATTTTTTTACCAATTTCAACAAAATTGGTTTTCATGCGACAAAAAAAAGAAAAAATATTGCAATAAAATTTTTGATTACTTCCTGATTTTTTCGAGAGCTTAAATGTTAGCTGTGGGTTTATGTCATATGATAGCACATACTTCCTTCATTTTAAGATCGCTCCATGTTAAGAATTTAATTTCATTTTCTTAATTTAGCATGACCGCATGAAATTTCACCCGGTCCCCAGGCAAGTTCTTATTGGATCCCTGTGCCAGATGAAGATACAAGTTTTTATCTATGCATTCCTGAATCTACCAAGCAAAATCAACACACGTTAGTTTTTATTAAACATTAAATGTAATAAAGGTAGGTATATTGATTTACTGCACTCTAGAGCTGCACAATGGGCTATTGGCGACGGTTTGGGAAACATCTTGACCCTAAACGTATGGAAATGACTGGTAAAAAATAATTTAATTTGTTTAAAAATAGCTTTTTAACCATCAAGAAATGAATTAAAATTGCCATACCAATAGTAATTGAACCAATTTAATAAATGAAAATAATAATCAAATTTACCTTACGATTTGTTTCTACTGAGTCTTTAGTTGCTATGTAGTTTTCTTCTCTGAAATAATAAACATATCGACAAATTACAACCGTCTTATGTAGTACTCAAATCAAATGACTTAAATTATAATATATATAAACGAGATATTTTTAAGTGTCCTATTTTAAAATTATCTGTGCTATGTCCTATTTTAAAATTATCTAGTATCAAAACGCACCGCAAAAAGTTCCGCTTACGATAGCGTGTAGAGTTACCTAGTTAAAGTAGTTAAAGTGTTAAAGTTATTAATAGATAATTTGAAAATAAATGACCTCATAAAAGAACTTTCAAACACATATCTGTTTGATAATAAACTGGACTATTATTCGTGCAAAAAACTACCTGGGAATCATTGTACCTTGAAGTCATATATATATATATATATATGGNTATATATATAGGGGAGAGTCGGGTAGCCCCGCCCACAGTCAATTTCATATGTACAGAATATTTTTTCTAGTCAATGAGCCATCGGACAAAAAAAAATTAACAAAATACTTGCAACAAATAAAATAGAACACATTAAGTTAAAATATCACGTAAAAACAGAAAACAAAACGTTCAGAAAAAACACTATAAAACATAAAAGGAAGGATCTATGAAGCTGGCAGTGAATTCAAATGAACTTACATGAACGGGAAATTTCTCAAGAACGATATAAAATATTTTCGTAACAAGATTGCTCGATTACAAAATATGAAAATAGACCATCGAATTGAGGTACAAACTTAAATAGAGGGATTTTGTATTATAGTGCATTCTTATTGCAGTACTGAAGCGTGATTAATTTGTTAGTAACCTTGGAGGGGCCCGTAATTGAATGTGCGCAATGTAAAATTATACTGGATAATTTAAAGAAGTTGACAATTAATAATTTTAGAAAAATAATAATTTCACAAAATTAACTTTTATTTAAGAATAAAAATGGAAAAGAGAAAGAAACACGAATGGCCTGTTTTGCCCATTATTTCAGCCACTGATATGCCCGAAATGGATTTGCACATGGTAAAAATAATATAAATTAAAAAAAGTTTTTTAGTGAATTTATTTGCAATAATATACGATTAACTATGATTTTATATGGAATTTAATTACTTTAGTTGGGTATCCATTGTTTTTTTTTTTTCTAAAATTTGGAAAGAATTTGTCTATTTGTGTTTTGGATTAATAAACATTACTACTTATTCTTTTAATTCTATTCATTCGATTTAAAATGATATTTAAATAGACACTCTTAGAAACATTAGAATTTCAAATAATTAGTTTATTTGTATTAAAATTAAAATCATTTCTTTTATCGTATTAATCAACAAAGCTGATATTTTCTTCTTTTATAATACCCAAATCCAAAAAATTGAAATTAATATTATCATCATGATTACGAAGCAAGATTAATTCCTTGCGGTAAATATTATTTAATAAAATAATATTATCTTGAAAATTAAAGATAATTAATTCATGTAAAAATAAATTAGCTAAAAGAGATGAATATTTAGATCCTTGTGGTATTCCATCAATCTGAAGACAAATATCTTTTCCATTGTAAAGATAATTATTGAAGAGACAAAAATAAGTAAAAATTTCCAAATAATCAAAATCGAAATTAGGATATTTTTAAAATCATAGTAATAATTCAAAGGGACATCTTTTAGTTTAGAAAGGGGAATGCTATTGAAAAGATCCTGGAAATCAAAAGTAGCAATAAAATCAATTTCATTATGGTTAATAAATTCAAAAATCGGTTGATTATTTGTGATAATCCAAGAAAAACCTTCTTTAATAATACTGTTAATAATTTTATTTAAGTGGTTAGAGAAAATGGTGCAGGTTCAGTTAGGTAAGTATTAGACTCACATGTGATTGTTTTAAATTTTATAGGAATTTTTTGAAATTATGGACTGATATTTAAGTAAGGAAACATTTTTTCAGATTTTTATTATTTTAATTTTCCTTTTTCCCGTTTTTCACTGTTCTGTAATTTGTCCCATGTTTTCTCTACATTTTGAACTTTGAATATATATATATATATATATATATATTTTTTTGTGTTGCATTGTGTTTAGGTCCTCTTATTTAATTTTCTGAATTGTCATTTAGTCAAACTTTGATCTCAATTCTAAGTGTCATAATTTTATGTTTACTGCAATAGTTCTAAGACTTTTTTATTAATTTATATTTTAATGCTTTCATGAACTGCAATGAAAAATATTTTATGTTGAATGATAAAAATAAAAAAACTGTTCTGCATAAAAATCAACAAAACAGTAAACATATTCAGTAGATGGCATACAGCAGTATAATTGGGTGACATACAGCTTTGTTAATGCTATAAACCTCCTCAGTGAAGAGTCATAATTATTATTTTATGTCCTAATTGTTATCAGGGTCATAATTATTATTTTGTGTCTCATTACTGAGAAGTTTATTTAAAGTATTAANTATATATATATATATATAAACACGTTACAAACTCTTTTGTGATAGAAGATTACAGTAAAGTCACATGATTTTATGATAATACAAATTCATTTTGACTTACAAACAGGCTTTTCTGCAGTTCTTTTCTTTGCATATCTCTGTTTTCTCTTCAATTTTCTGTAGATCTGTAAAATATTTCTCGCTAGTTGGAGCTGCATCCCGAAAAGACAAGAAAAATTGGTTGTAAACTGTAGTTTTTTTTGGCTAATATTTATCATAGTGCATAACTATGTGCGAAAGAATTATCAGGCTCTTTCGTGCTTCGACATTTTATTTATTCACATTTCAAATAGCTATGCGGCATGAATAATGAATCGTTTGTTTTCTGACTTTAGGCCTGCCAATAATTCGTGAATGGATATTTTTAGAGCAAGCATACAAGCACACCGGGCAAACAATTAGTCACCCCTAGAGAAATCATGAAAAACATCATTTAATTGAGTGTAACACTGCCTCTGAATTCGATAGCCATCTGGATTCGGTTAGGAAGTGTGTCCATATGGTTTTGAAGGTACGTCGAATCCTGTTTAAACCCTTCACTGAGGATTTTATCGCGCAAATCCACCAATTTGCGAGGATGCGTTTTACCCGTTGTTTCAACATATCCTACAAATTTTAAAAGGGGTTATAGTCAAGTCATTTTACAGGCCAGTCGAGATGTAATTGTGTGTCTGAGTGTTCATAAAACCAGTCACATATTCTTCCAGCCCAATGAACTTTGCTGTTGTCATCTTGAAAAATAGGGGTATCGACTACACACTCTTCGTGACTGAGAGGCAACATCAAATCATCCAGAATGTTCAAATAAACATGTTGGTTCATGTTAGTGGCTACTGTAGTGAGGGGGCTCAATCCATAATAAGAAAAACGCTCAGAGAGCATGGCAAAATTACCTTCGACTCTGACCTTCCGCACAGTCAGGATGAAATATTTCATCTGCTCTTCGTAGCACTCGATGACGTGCTTCTTTCGATTAAAGGCAAATACGTGATTCGTCAGACCATATTACATTCCGCAAGTCAGTAACTGTCTACTTTCGGTGACTTCTAGCACACTGAAGTCTGAAAGCCCACTGTTGCACCACTACTTATAGACACGTTGAACAGCCGTTATCGAAACTCTAACAAATCCACCAACTTCATTCCCCGTATGACCATGAGCATGGCCAAACACAATTGCTCATTTTTACCACTCTATGACATCCTTACACTTATTTATATTTACACGCAATTTCCGCTTCAAACAAAAAATCTTACTGATAGCTACTTACCTTTGATCACGCTGAAGCAGTGTGCACGCAGTTGAGGACATCACTTGACCACTGCGTCATCTAACGGAACTTAACGATTTGCTTAACGCTTGCGCAATAGGGCGACTAAAGTTTTTGTCCGGTGAGCTTAGTTATGAGAAATTTTTAAAAATCCACTAACCCAGCAGAAAACTAAGAAATATTTTTTGAAGCACATTATGCTCATCAATTTGTAATTTGTACATTCCATGAAATTGAGGACAGTGCTTTACTTAAAGAAAAGTATTTATTTTCATTTCACTTACGTAGGAGAGGGTTTTAATTACATGGGACAAGACCGGGTGACAGGTTTAAAACGGATACTTCAAATGTGAGGAAATTAATTCTGTTTTCTAGCGGACTCCGAAATATAAAAATTCAAACTCCGAAATATAGTTGACTCGTCAAGAAGAAGGGCCTTCCATATTGGCGTATCGTTGCTGATCAGCTCATAGTGTCTGTGAAGATAAATTTATTTTACTAAACTCTCTTCTCTTGTTTTTAAGCTATCCTTATTTATTGCTTATTATTGTCTTTTAGTCCAGCTTAATGTACATTTTCTAAAAATTTATACCCTAACAAACGATAAGGATTTAGTCCAATAGCAGCACTATTCGGTTTCGTTTCGATAGCCTTTGCTTGCGGTGTAAGATCAGGTACTTCCCGGTCACGTGTCACCCCCGATGATTTCTGTCTAGCCTTGGCCAACGAAAACTGCAGTGCAGCAGTAGAAGGAGATAGCAGTATCAAAGGCTAAACAAAGATTTTACGGTCAAGAGGACAAAATTTATTGCAGATCTCTTTCCAAAACCCAAAAACCCTTATTATCATATTTTCTAGAATTTTTTAAGATCCATTATGCAAAATTGAAGTTTTTGTATAGATATAAAGAAATTTTCTTGCCATTTTCTATTAAAAACATTATTAAACACTATATATTAGTAAGAAATTTCGGTTGAGTCCTCAGTATTTCCAGGCCCTGACACAATTGTCCTTCTTTCTTTTCTTTAGTATGGCCTTGATTACTTCAGATGAAAATCACATGCATACTTTTCTCAAAATATCATATAAAATATGTTACTTTCTCTGTTACATTTTCACTGAAATCCCACTATTTTTAAATTTTCCATAGAGTTTACATGCATGCAATACGAAAAAGAAAGATACCCGCAATAACTTTTGTTCTAATATCGGATTTTCACTCATTAAATGTCGATCATAATGGCTCCAGGGGTTGGCCTCAAATATCCAAATTATTTAGTGCTAACTATTAATTAAGTTACGAAACTAGGCGAGCGTTAGCGAGCAGGGGGCGCAGCCCACTAGTTATATTAATTTCTTCAATTTCTATTTTATAATTAAAATGCAATAACTACTTAAATGAAGATGCAAATTTTATAAAAGATGTCATATTTTCTTCAATGAAATTTTAAAATCAACGATGATTATCTAGTATGGTGTTTAGATATTGGGTATCACTACAAAAAGAAAATAGAGTTGCCGAATATGCAGCCAACATTTTCAAACGTATTATAATTTACAACACCTTATCTATAGTGTCAAGCGTCTTAATATTAGATCAAATTTTTCGATTACCTGACCGTTCGTATTTCGCAGAATTATACAACTATGTAACGACATTTATAGATTTTTCAAAATTTCATTCCTTACGTTACCATGTAAATTATTATTGTAATAATAAAATATATTTTTTAATACTGTAATTCAGGTTTTTCTTTCAATTAAACATTCGTATTTAAATTATTGTCAAGTTTTTTAACAAAAAAAAAGCTTAAAATTATAGCTGAAAATTGAATTTTGTTAAGAAATTAAAAACATTCGAAAGTTTAAAAAATACTCGATGCTAAACTGGGAACTATTTCCAAATATACTAAGTTTTCGAAAAATAAAGAAAACTTATAGTTTTATAATTGTTTCTCTTTGCAGTAATTAAAAGTGCATATCTGTGCAAATAAAAAAAATACAACTTGTTTTGTTTTTAAATGGAGAAGAATTTATTTTTATTAATATAAAAAATATTTTATACCATAATTTTATTTTGACGTTCAAACTTATTCTCTCCCACTAACTCTAAGAAAGTTGTCTTTTTAAAAATGATAATGCTGAAAAAAATTTGCTTAAAGCACTTGTTAAAATAATTTCTCATTTTTAGCACTATTGACATGATACTGTTATATCGAAAAAATGCTCAATATGCCTCATTCTGTAGACAGTAAATACTAAAAACTGAAAATTGTAAGTTCAAAAATGTGCAATTTGTTTTAATCATCATCTTTAAAAATTTGCTCTTTTCAACTGTGATTTTTTTTAATTCTATAATGAAGAGTATTAAGACATTTTTTTGTTACATATTATAGCTGTATGTTCAGAAAATAGTTTTAAGATACTTTTTCTTAAAAAAATATTATGAATAGAAATTTTTTTTATAATTCGCTGTAAGGAAACAAGAATGTTATTGTTTGATTGATGCTCAATTTAACAGTGCCAATGATTTTCCTAGATTTGAAATCTGTTGGACAAAACATTTTATTGCTTGAAACAATAAAACTTATTAAAATAACTTAAGAAAGTAAACTGATTCTTTGCTTTCTTAAGAGTGGCAAAAGAAAGACGAGGAAAATAGTCAACCCCGTTTACCATCATACTAATTATGCACTAAATCATATAACTTAAGTAATTAAGTTACATGATTATGTGATAACTTATTTATCACATAACTTATGTACTATTAACTTCAGGGTGTAAAAATATAAACTCGGTCAAAATATGAAGTATACCCTAAATTCTATCTATAATAAATTTTGAATCGTAGGCAAAAGAAATAAATTTTCAAACAATTTCGAGTAAGACGGAGACGTTAAATTTTTATTACCTTGTTGCAATATAACTTTATATCCAAGGGTCATGGCAATTTTTACTGATTCATAAATACCCCTAAAAATGTCACTTACCTGGTTTTTCCACTAAGCATTTCAAATAGCCGAACTATACCTTTCAGTTTTGTAATTGATTTCGTAGCATTGTTCAGTACTGAGTAATTGATTTCTTTAAATTCATTCTGTATGAAGAAGGGGTATTTAGCTAGTAACAATAGTAGTAATTTGATAAATAATAATAATTTGATTATGGAGGTTTGTCATTCCATTGTCTCAATCTACTTTTGATAATTCAGTTGCTGACGGAATTGTTTTATATCCTTAAAAAATGCTTTTCAGAGCATCAGTAAAAAAATAATAATAAATAAATTAATACAAAAATTGTACTGCACTGATATTTTCGAAAGTTGTGACTAATTATATATTATTTTTTCAATCGATGAACCATAACCATTATCTTAAGTAAAACTTATTTTAATAACGCGCTAAGTATTTTAATTAAATATACTATATTACTAAATGAATAATTCCAAGAAACTAAAGTGGAAAGATAAAAACTTTCAAAAACATTGAAAATTTGAAAAAAATATGAAGAAGCAAATAAAAGTTGACATGCGTAAAGCTCTAAAAAATTTCACATCACGAGTTATTCACATCTGGTAGCCTTGAGAATGGCGATATTTGAAGCAAATAATTGGAGCGCTCAGTAATAGGCTACCATTTTCAAGATTCACTAGATGTGAATAAGGAAAACAAAAGTGATTTTAAACAAAGAAAATTATTGCCAACGAAAATGGCTATATTGGCAACGTAATGGTAGTATGTCAATTTCTATGGATTCATTTGTGTTTTATCCACGTTTTTTTTCTTCATTTTACTCTATGTAGTACAAAGTATATACTTTTGGACTATAAGTTTTTATTTCATGTAAACAGTAACAAACTATTATTTATCTGAACAACAGAAAAAATAACCATACATTTATTTTCAAGGAATTTTTTTAGTGAAACAAGTTTTACAATTGTGTGAATTTTTTTTAAATTCTTCAATTAGTTTCCGAGATATGGCAAAATACATAAAAAATGACATTAACACAAGTTATGGATACAATTTTTTAAACGTTCTTAAGATCAAATTATTATGGCTAATTATTTTTCAAATTAAGACTACCTCAAACCAGACTATAACGCTATTTCATTCTAGACTAATTCAAATAAAATAAATTTAGTTAAAAAAAATGGTATAATACTTTTACACTTACCACTATCGAAACATATATCCTTACTTAAAGGATACTGCATCTTATATAAAAGTAAAACACAACCCTTAACTTCGAAACTGGCATTAGCTTGACATTCTTGGAAGCATTCCTGAAATATGTAAATAAAAATTATAGAATCACAGATATTAATACGCTTTTTTTAACCCCCGCAATTGAAGACTAATGGAATATATATATATATATATATATATATATATATATATATATACATTAAGCAATAAAGTGGGGGTAATACCGGGTAGCTAAGATTCGAAGGCCTGAAGAATCTAAACTGTTCGACATAGAAACTGTATATTGTTTAGTTTTGTACATTGTTTTAGATATCCAATGTTTAGTTTAGTACGATACATCTTTGTGAGCACGATGCATTGTTACTATAAGTAGGGGAAAATGGGGTAATACCGGGTAGCTAAGATTCGAAGGCCTGAAGAATCTAAACTGTTCGA